TTATTGGGTGTATGTAAACTTGTGGTTCAGCTGTAAATTTTGCCTCTGGTTCTGCAAATGTTGTTAATCTGCAAAATATTAAAACCAGTTTCTATCAGTTAGATATCCAAGACACTTGAGATAAAGTTAGACGCCCCTAAAGCTTTTAGGGGCGTCCCGATTCTGATCCGATTCTGATCCAGAAAGCCTACACTCTCATCTATCAGGATATTTTGTTTCTCCACAGTTATAATACTACTGATAGTAATAATAATATATGATATTTTTACTCCCTCTGATCGGCGGTTTGTGTCGCAGAGCGAGCTGCCGGAGGCCGAGCAGGACAACGGCGGATCCACAGAGTCGGTGAAAGAGCAGGAGATGAAGTGGACCGACCTGGCCCTGCAGAGCCTGCATGAAAACACACCGAGTTCTGGAAGCTGAGGAGCCGTCCAGAACTGGGCCGGGTTCATCTGCTTGCTTTGTAACAACTAATAAATCTAGATGTTGTGCACAGTTAGCTTCATGTCTTTCCTGGTTCTAACCACCAGGGGTCACTGTCCAGCAGAAAGGCAAACAGTCTGGTCCAGTGTTTCTCAACCATTTTTGGGCCAGCGACCCCCCAGCCTTTATTCAGGTCCCTCACCAAAGAATTTGTAGGCCACTGACTATTATTTCATTATTAATATTACTATAACTATTGTAGATGTTTTGATTTTTATGCTTGTTTCTGTATTTATCATCAAAATAATAATAACAAAAAACCCATGGGAATAGAAATAATTTTCACAGGCGTCTACGAAAAATGCAATGAACATTCAACTTAAAATCAGTAGGCCTAACAGCAGCCAATCAGAGTGGAAAAAATATTCTTGTTCTTTGACATTTTCTAGTTGTTAAATTTTTCACAAAATTATAAAAGATGAACATGCCAGTTTAAACTTTGATCTATTTGCAAACCGACTGAGCTCTGCAGCATTAAAACATGGATAGAACTGGAACTATATTAATCATAGCTCTTCTTCTCTTCAGTGTTTCTGTCGGTTTCTGGTGGTGCAGCTCTGTGCTGCCTTCAGGAGAATGGGACATCGGAGTATCATCCATAAAATTTCACCCACATGGCATTTATTGTGCAAACCAGAGCTTTCAGCTTACAGCTCCGGTGTTTAAATGAACGCCCTCTGTTGTGGTGCCACCATGGAGGGATTTCTTTACTTAAATGGGTTCATTTTTCTGAGGGATACTCAGTGAGGAGATTCCTCAGCTAAATAATCTGTTTCCTGATGGGTCTCTTATTTTAGGCCAACTGAATATTCAAAGTCCCCTCAATGGTAAAATGTTTTAATTCTGGACTTCAGAGAACCTCAGGAGAACCATGACCCGGACCAGAACCTAAGGCCGACCCAGCAGAACCACAGCAGGTCCACAAGAACCAGAACTGAGTGACTGAGGCTCAAGAATAGCATTTTATTTTACAGAAAGACTTGTGGGGTGTCCCGTCAGTCTCCTCTTGATGTTGCAGACTTTGGCTGAACAGCAACGTTTTCTTACAACTAAAGCCCAAGTCGAAACGACCAACCAGCGAGGAAATGTTGGCCCGATCGCAGTGAAACCCCGTTGACCAGAACCCGTTTACAGGTTCTGGTCAACACTCTCTCCTCAAAGTCTGTGTCATCACATGCCTGTCTTCCCGATGTGGGCCTGCTCAGGTCACATTGACGGTATGTCTGCTGACGCATCTGGAGTCCAGAAATGAAACCTGCTTTTTGAACTCAGTTTCTTTTCTGGGCCGGTTCTCTTGCACTTTACCAGAACCGTCCTCATGTGATCACACACTACAGGCTGAAAAAAGTTTATGAACTGAAACCAGAAATGGAAGAATCTGATTTTCCTCACGTTTCAGATAAAACCAAAATCCTGGCATGAAACTGTATCCGGATGGGTCCAGTTTATGAACAGTCCAGAACTTTCCAGAACTTCCTGGGTTTCGTGCTTTTTCAGGTTTGTCATTTCTCTGCTTTTGTGCTTAGTCACGGTTCAATGACTCAGCTTTTTTCTGGCAAACAAACACGACCTGGAATCACCCAAACTGGGAGCAGTAAGGGATCCGGCGGCCCAGTGGCGGGTGCAAAACCAGGCACTGGTGCGTTCAGGGGCATGACGGGGCGTGGGAACTCTGACAACCTGTGAAAGGACGGAAAGTTGAAACTAAAGAAATATGAGATAAATATATGGAAACAATGAAAAACATGCTCAGTCACACCTTCTAGAAAACTAGAGATTTGTTTATTTAAAATATTTTTGTATTTGGAAGGCAGAAAGATACCTTTTTTAAAGTATAAACTGTTTGGTTACAAACAACAAATATATTTACTGTAAAAAATACATTTAGACAGAATAATAAGACGTGCACTGATTTGAATGATTGTGTTGAACAGTGGAGTGGATTCCCACGTCTCCTTTGCGCTCGGCGCTTTCTGGTGGTTCTGTTTCCCACAACACCCGGTCCGTAAAAGCAGCACTAAACAATGGGCTGTTTGCAGCCGAGACAGATGGTGCTGGTCCGCGCCGTGTGCAAAGACGCAAACACACGATGACTCGCATATCAGGCTCGTTTTGAATAATATATTAACTTTATATGAGATTTAAAAACCTCCGATGGACAGGCGACCTGTCCAGGTGACCCCGCCTTTCGCCCGCTGACCCCTGGAAGCAGTACATGGTGACCCCGCTAGGGGTCAGGGAGAGGGGTGATGGATGATGGAGATTTTAAACATCTTTATTAAAATAAACATGTTTTCATTCAATTTTACAAATAAAAAGTTTAAATTGGAGGAAAAGACAAAAAGATTTATTAAATTATTAATCAATTCAAATGAAATATCTGAAGAGTTTTATTAATGTTCACAATAAAGCAATAGGAAACTCTTCATAGAGATGCATATTGGGACGTCAACAGTTCCAAAAGCCTCCAGATGTTTTTGTTGTTTTCACAGTAAAAAATAAATAAATAAATAAAAACAATAATAATAATAATAATAATAATNGATTAAAGTTATGCAGTATAATGACTGTCATTCCAGGATGAACACTCACTTTAGCATTTGCCTCACAACTAGCAAGCTACATACTCTGGTAGCACAGACAGGCTAACAGATTCTGATATATCTTATTAGTCAAAAGACATTTGATTATTGGTCAAAATGCATTGATATAAATTAACTGGTAATTTAACTGGTTTTACTTCTTTCTAAAACCAAAGTAGAAAACAGCTCATAAAATAGGACTCGGCAGTTTTAAACCCAATACAGCAGTTTGACAAACAAAAATAAAATCTAAACAAGTTTTGTTCTTCTTTAACAACTCTCTACATCAGTGCAACAGTTTGATCTATACAAAATAAATAAAAATTATACTTTTCACGTCTAACAGACCCTTAGCTCCTCACTGTTAACTCAGTCTCACTTTCCAGCCCTGCATTCAGTAACTTACCAAAGATCCATGAAAAACACTGAGGCAAAAAGACTAAATGTTTTTTTTCCCTGTCATTTTCAGCCGCAAACATTTAACTAAAATATCTACAGATATGCGTTTCTGTCTCTGCCTCCCTCTGACTCTCTGGAGCCTGATGTTCCTGCATGGATTCATGGATTTACATGAATCCATGCAGGAATGTACAGTGTCAGAATGTGAACTAAATATAAAAAGTATGTTTTTATCATACAGAAGGAGAATTTAAACAACTTAATTTTCAGATGTATACATTATTATACATCTCAACTCTACTGTGTAGCAAAAATTTTCACTAATTTATTTTTTAAACCTCTCCTCAAGCACTTTTTTTATTGTCGCCTGTAATTAATATAATTTTTAATATAATTAATATAATTTTTCATATCTTTACACTCTGAAACTCCACCTGGCTCTCTTATGTCTTCCCTGACCTGCTCCTCTCATAATAAAATAGTTTAGCTTATTTAAAAATTAAAAACAGTTAATACATATTTCAGTAAACTAAATGAAGACCTCACCAGAGCTTCTTCACCTTTCAACATCATTCTAGCACTGCTGTTCTCCTAAATATATAATATAATATAATATAATATAATATAATATAATATAATATATAAATACATGTTAAGTGGTCGAGTGATCAGATGTTGTTCACTTTAAATAATAAAAAGGCTAATTTCGCTGCTGTTTCAGTCTCAGTCTAAATCATTATGGCTAGACTAGCTAACTTTTAAACAAAGTTAGCAGTAAAATTTTGGACATGTGACTATCCCAGAATTAAAACAGCTTAACCAAAAAGATTTAGTTCTATATATGAAAGTAAACTGACAACAAGATGTTATAAACGAGCGATATTCATAGCAACATTCCTGACAGACAGTTTACCTCCTTCAAACGGAGTTTCTCTGCTGCTGCCTTTACTCTGAGCCGTTCAGAGGGGGGAGGGGCAGGAAGCGCTCTGCTGAATGCGCCTTCAAAATAAAAGCACGCGAGTGGAAGATTTATAATTCTTCGCAACAGCGGTGAAATTATTGGGGGGACGAATGTGACTCTCTCCAATATTGGGGGGACATGTCTCCCCCGTCCCCCACGCTTCCTACGCCTATGTAAACAAGTTTTGTTATTTAAATGCTAATGTTTCTTCAATGTTTTTTTTTAGTGGGGGACAATTTTAGACTTTTCATAGATTGGATCGGTCCGGACCCCCTGATACCCTGGGATTTCCGCCTATGGCTGTCGCCTCAGTAAACTGGTAGCTGGTTCCACTGGAGAGCAGATCTGCCTCCCATTCTGCTGCTAGAACCTCCAGAACCTGCAGGGTGGTACCAAAGGGTTCTGGTCGGACCGTTTGGACCAATCAGGTCTCTGATGGATGATGGTGTCTAGAAGCTCTGCCTCCCATTCTGGTCCTGGACCAATCAGAACCTCTGGACAGTTTCAGTTCTCCACATGGAAAGGAACTGGGTGAGCTTGATGTTCTGAACAGAACCTTGGTTCTGACCGGTGTCCCTCTGTCCTCCAGGTCTGGTGTCCAGCAGCAAGTCCAGCCTGTCCCACCTGCTCAGCTGTCGTGAAGGAGGAAACGTGGCGGTCATCGCCGTGGGCGGAGCTCCAGAAGCTCTGGACGCTCGGCCCGGAGCGCTGACTCTGCAGGTAGGTGCCGTGGTGAGGCAGAGGTCAGAGGTCAGAACCCAGAGGTCAGACATCGGGTCAGAGGTCAGAACCCAGAGGTCAGACATCAGGTCAGAGGTGAGGCTCAGCCAGGTTCTGGTGGTAGACCCAACTTGGACAAACATCTCTGATCTGGTTCCTGTCTTTCTGAGGGTCTGAGAGGTTGCAAGTTCAACTCCTGATCAGAACTGAAACAGAACTCAAAATTGGACCAGAACCTGAGTTTGATCCAGATGGTTCTGTTGGCAGTTGGTCACTGACTGACCCTCGTTTCTGTTTCCAGGTGAAGAACAGGAAGGGCTTCATCAAGATGGCTCTGAAACACGGGTAGGCGGGGCCTGATTGCTGGGCGGGGCTTCACCGATGGGTGGGGCCTGATAAGTGGGCGGGGCTTCAGGATCAGAAACCCAGTTGTTTTTATTGTTCATGCTTGTGTGTGTGTGTGTGTGTGTGTGTGTGTGTGTTTATGCAGAGCTCAGCTGGTTCCTGTCTTTTCGTTTGGAGAAAACGAATTATTTGACCAGATGGAAAACCCAACTGGATCTCCTTTGAGGAGGCTGCAGGTCACACACACTGATACACACCACTCACATCTCCAGTTCTCTGATTTTCTACATTTTGTCTCCAAACAAACTTTAGTTTTTAAATATTTTCCTGATTTTAATCTTTTTGCCTCCAGGCGATTCGGACCGTTTTTAGGAGGATTCACTCCCCTCATGATGCTGCGTTCATGAACTGTGAAACGTTTGGAAAACTGCAGATTTGAAGTTGATTTAACAGTTTTAGTAGAAATTCATAACCAGATGTTTCTGGTCGGATCCTGTCAGCTTCTATTTGAAATAAATCTATGCGTGAAAAGCGTCTCCAGATCCCAGCGCTGGGATTTCCTGCAACCGTAAACTCACCACAGCTGTTTCTGTTCAGCATCGTCTGGTTCTGATTTTTGTTGGTTTATTGGTCAGGAACAGAACCAGTTGCTGCTGGAGCTTCTGGACCCAGATGGATCAGAACCAGACTGATCCAGGAGGTTTTCCTCCTGGCTGAACTTTCACCAGAACTGGATCTCGTCTGGTTCTGGTTCAGACCGGCTGTTGATGCTTCGGTTCTAGATTAAACTGGTGGTACCGGGTCGGTCCAGTAACTTCAGTGTTGATGCATCTGATGCTCTGCAGATCATCTTCATGTCCAACATCATAAAAACATCAAATCAGTCAAACTGGCTTTTTCTCACCAGTTGATCCTCGTCTGACCTTTGGCCTGAGATTCATTTATCAGCAAAAAGTGACTCCTAGTGGCCACTGCATGTTACTGCAAGGAACAACAAAAATGTCTGAACATCGTTAATGGGTTTAACTGACATTTGTCCACAGCTCATTTCCACCTGAGCTGTGGATCTGCAGCTCCTCCAGAGTCACAATGGTCCTGGTCAACGCTCTGCTGTTAGTCCAGCTGGACGTCCATGTCCTGGTAGACATGGACGTCTGCAGGTGGTCCAATCTGGCATCATGTTTCATGACCCTGTTTGTTCTCTACAGAACCTCTGAGTCCAGAACCAGAACCTCTGGACTCGGGTTCTGGTAGCAGAGCTGGACAGGTTTTACCTTCAGGTACCAGAGTAGAGGGGTGGAGTCAGGTGTTGGTCTGGAGACAAAATGTGGACGACCTCAGAGTCCGAATGCTTGTCACAGCACCGTGTCGGCCATGTTTAATATTATGGGATGTTGTTGTGTCAGCAGAACCGGCTGCAAAGCATTATGGGAATAGCGATGCCTCTGTTCCACGCCAGAGGAGTTTTCCAGTACAGCTTCGGCCTGATTCCCTACAGGAAGCCCGTTCACACCGTGGGTAAGTTCTGCTGCCTCCATGTTGGACCATCAGAACCTCTGACAGAACCAGGAGGTCCAGAATAGAGCCAGACTGCCTCCCAGTTTAGAACCAGTGAAGGTCCAACCACAGAATGTTTCCATGTTCAGGTTTGGATCTTATGGAGCAGAAACAGAACCAGGGAACAGAACCATTCAGCGGTTCTGTTCCCTGTTCTGTTCAGCACCAGTAGAATAATCCTGATGGACTGAACCGGGTTCTAGTATCGGGTCACATTAGAGGTTCTGATCTGATCTTTAATCTGTCTGGTTATAAACTGGATTTAAATCCAGTTCTAATTTATTCACTGCGATGGATTAGTGACCCGTCCAGGTGACCCCGACCTCCAGGTGACCCCGACCTCCAGGTGACCCCACGTCCAGGTGACCCTAACCCTATTTGTCATAGATTTTGGTTGGTCACCATGACGATGTGCCTCCTGAAGCATCTCTAAAACGGGACTGATTGTTTTATAAAGTCTATAGGGACCATCAGGTCCAGGTTTCCTCCATGTCTCCATTCGGTTAATATTCCTCTCCAGCTTCTGTAATTTCAGCCTCCAGTTGTTTTCTATAACCTTCATCTATGGAGGGAATATTTAACTTATTTAGAAATGAGTCGTGTTCCTGGATATCAGAGGCGACCTGAGAATCTAACAGCCTTTCATAAAGTTTCCCCTTTACTATTAATAATAGAGGTTATTTTTTTTGCACTTCCAATTGTTTTGTCAGGAGTTTCCCATTTTTCTCCATGTTCATAGAAAGATTGATTTAATCTTAAACTGTCTGCAGATTCTTCTTCATATTGTATTTTTAATAACATCAATTCCTTCTGTTTCTGTTATTTCTAAAAACTTGTAGTTCTAATGATTTAGTCTTAGATTCTGGTTGCTCTCTAGATTTTGATGAGGTGTAACTGATTATATAACTCCTGCTTTGAAAGCGTCTCATTTTCTACAGGCTGAAGTTTGAATGATGTTGATACTGAAATATTCGTCTCTTTTCTCCAACATATTGAAGGAATTTCTCACCTTTCAGCCATTTCTGGTGTAAACAGCATTTAGGAGGGTCAGGCTGTTAGAATATATGAAACTACAGGGAGCGTGATCTGATAGTAGAACGCTATCAGAACAACAATCAGTTATATTGAGAGTAATTCTGTTGGAATCAATAAATAATTTATGCAGAGTTTGTTCTAAATGTCCCTGAATGGCATCAGTAGATTGTTTCACTAGGTTTTAAATGTCTCCAGATGTAATTCTTTCGGAAAATCACGTTTCACTACTTGTGGTGTGTTTGGTCAGATCCTGATCCCAGTCCAGACTGGGCCCAGAACTCGGTTCCAGGCCCAGAACTCGGTTCCAGGTCCAGAACTCGGTTCCAGGCCCAGAACTCGGTTCCAGGTCCAGAACTCGGTTCCAGTCGCCTTATAATGTATTTTCCTGTCAGCGTTGAAAGGGAAAGACAGAAGTTGGTATAGAAAAGATCATCGTCAGATTTGGACCATAAACATTCACTAAGTTCAGAGTTTCTTGTAGGATCCTAATGATCAGATTTCTCTCCCCAATTTATCTTTAATAACATTGTTGACCTGGAAAGGAACAGATTTATGAATTGGGGTCATTACTCCGCAGCTCCTAATGAAAGTGGAGCTGCTTATATTTCCCCCTGCCACCTCTTACATAATTTTATATTTTCTTCCTCCAAGAGAGGGTTTCTTATAAAACTACTATTTGAGTTAAATCTTTCAGTTTGTTCATGACTTGTTTGATTTTTTTTCTTTTTATGTAAACCTCTACAGTTCCAGGATGTGAATTTAGTTTCTGTTCTTTGCATCATGTCAGCTTAAAAACACTGATGCAAATGTGCAGAGTTAATGTGCACATTTGCACATTAACAAAATAACTGAACAGTTAACATACATCCATAAACCCTGAACTGCTGGAACAAACAAAACCCAACCAAACGGTCAGAATATGCTGCTTCCAACCACTGACATGAAGATCGTTATGATCAATTCTCTCGGTTCTTAACCTTCACCAACAAGTAAACATAAATATCTACTGTACCCGACACCTGCTGCGTTTCCAACAGTATTTATCCCTGTACGTTTGATTTGATCTTTAGTATGTATAACAGAGGCTTCATAATAGAATAATGAAGCTAGAAATACAAGCTATGAATAATAAATAGTGCAACTTCATGCTGTAGATTGTGAACATAACGACGATCTAACAGAATATATTTAGCAAAGAGAAGCACCATCGTTGCATAGCATCAGAATTTAATCCATTCAGTCTGTTATCTGTTCATCTGATCGATGAACGTTTGGACCTCGGCTGGAGAGTTGAGCCTGAAAGTTTTAGTATGTTGGCACCAGTTCAGCTGGAGGGATGATGCCGTAACTCAGCCCGCCGAGGGGCTTGTGGACTTCATCTTACTGCTTGTGCATCTCTGTAGCGACGTTGTTGTAGAGTCTCACCCGCTGGTTCTTATAGAGGATATCCATTTTTACTTGCTCTGAACATCCTTTTGTTTATAGTTGAGCATAGTTACGGTTCTTGGGGGTGTTTCTGTTTCTTTTCGGGCCGATGCGGTTTGCTCTTTGGAGAATCAGCAGGTTTCTCAGGCCAGGCAACTTCAACACTTCTGGTAACCAGCTTTCCAAAAGTCCATGGGAGCCTCTGCTCCTTCGGGGAGATTCACCAATCTGAGGTTGTTGAACCAAGATCTCATTTTTATGTCAACCACTTTTTCCTCCATTAGCTTCTTAGTTTCCTCCAAGCTCTTAACTTTAATTAGTGACATTTACTTGTTTTCCATTGTGGACAAACGTTCCTCTGCATGCGTCAAACGCTTCACACTCACCCACTTCTTTCCTCACTGCTTCTATGGCTGCCATAACCCCATCAAACCTTCCAGAAAACTCAGACTTTAGGCTCTTTATTGCTCCAAGTGTATCTGCTTTGTCGCCGAATGAGTTATTCATTTTGCCACCGTTAGCTGCTAGCTGTTAGCTGCTAGCCATTAGCTGCTAGCTCTTCATCGGCTCCCTTGCTGCTGCTTGGCTCTTTGCTAACTTTCTTGCTAGCCTCGTTTGTGCTGTGCTCCACATTTTCTGGTCTGTAGTCCGTCAGCTTGGATTGCGTAGTTATTCTTGGCTTATCTTTGCTTGGCCTTCCAGGGTTTGGCAAAGTTTCACCCAAATCAAACTCTGCTACCGTTGTTGTAGCGTTCAGGAGTTTTTAAAAGGGAATTTACAGGATTCTTGTCAGGAGCTGTGTCGAACACGACCTTCTACCTTGCAGTCATACCTGGAAGTCCAGAATTACAGTGGGGCAAAAAAGTATTTAGTCAGCCACCAATTGTGCAAGTTCTCCCTCTTAAAAAGGTGAGAGAGGCCTGTAATTTTCATCATAGATATACCTCGACTATGATAGACAAATGGAGGAAAAAAATCCAGAAAATCAAACTGTCTGATTTTTAAAGAATTTATTTGCAAAATATGGTGGAAAATAAGTATTTGGTCAACAACTAAAGTTCATCTCAATACTTTATGTACCCTTTGTTGGCAATGACAGAGATCAAATGTTTTCTGTAAGTCTTCACAAGGTTTTCACACTGTTGCTGGTATTTTGGCCCATTCCTCCATGCAGATCTTCTCTAGAGCTGTGATGTTTTGGGGCTGTCGCTGGGCAACACGGACTTTCAACTCCCTCCAAAGATTTTCTATGGGGTTGAGATCTGGAGACTGGTTAGGCCACTCCAGGACCTTGAAATGCTTCTTACGAAGCCACTCCTTCGTTACCTGGGCGGTGTGTTTGGGATCATTGTCATGCTCAAAGACCCAGCCACGTTTCATCTTCAATGCCCTTGCTGATGGAAGGAGGTTTTCACTCAAAATTTGACAATACATGGCCCCATTCATTCTTTCCTTTACACCAGGGACCAGTCGTCCTGGTCCCTTAGCAGAAATACAGCCCCAAAGCATGATGTTTCCACCCCCATGCTTCACAGTAGGTATGGTGTTCTTTGGATGCAACTCAGCATTCTTTCTCCTCCAAACACGACGAGTAGAGTTTTGACCAAAAAGTTCCATTTTGGTTTCATCTGACCATATGATGTTCTCCCAGTCATCTTCTGGATCTAGCAAACTTGAGACGGGCCTTGACATGTACTGGCTTAAGCAGGGGGACACGTCTGGCACTGCAGGATTTGAGTCCCTAGCGGCGTAGTGTGTTACTGATGGTAGCCTTTGTTACTTTGGTCCCAGCTCTCTGCAGGTCATTCACTAGGTTCCCCCGTGTGGTTCTGGGATTTTTGCTCACCGTTCTTGTGATCATTTTGACCCCACGGGGTGAGATCTTGCGTGGAGCCCCAGATCGAGGGAGATTATCAGTGGTCTTGTATGTGTTCCATTTTCTAATAATTGATCCCACAGTTGATTTCTTCACACCAAGCTGTTTACCTATTGCAGATTCAGTCTTCCCAGCCTGGTGCAGGTCTATAATTTTGTTTCGGGTGTCCTTTGACAGCTCTCTAGTTTTCGTCATGTTTGAGTTTAGAGTGTGACTGGTTGAGGTTGTGGACAGGTGTCTTTTATTCTGACAACGAGTTCAAACAGGTGCCATTAATACAGGTAACGAGTGGAGGACAGAGGAGCCTCTTACACAAGAAGTTACAGGTCTGTGAGAGCCAGAAATCTTGCTTGTTTGTAGCTGACCAAATACTTATTTTCCACCATATTTTGCAAATAAATTCTTTAAATCTCAGACAATGTGATTTTCTGGATTTTTTTTTTCTCCTTTTGTCTCTCATAGTTGAGGTATATCTATGATGAAAATTACAGGCCTCTCTCATCTTAAGTGGGAGAACTTGCACAATTGGTGGCTGACTAAATACTTTTTTACCCCACTGTATATTTAAAGTGTGTTTTTGTTAAATTGTGACAGTCTCATAAGCGTTATGTGCTTCAGTCTGTAGTCCAGATGGTCAGTCCTCCCCTGGACAGTTCAGTCTGAACTTTGTTTTTTCTTCTGTTCAGATTGTTAACCAGCCACACATGTAAATGAAGTGGCTCCAAATTACATTCACTTCATATTTTTACCTGCATTTGGCCAGTGGGGGGCGCTAATTTCCATCCCTGTCTTAATGTAATATTTTTAGATTCATAAGTGACTGACAAAATGTCTATTATGTATAAATTGGTCAAATGGCTCAACTTCACCCAAACCAT